CGAGGCCCCGCCCCGGCCCCGCCCGCTACCCTGGGGGTCTTCTCGCTGTGCGGCCGGAGCGCCTTCCAGCGCCGACTGCTGATTGCTACGCAGGCCGATGACCGCACGGTCCGGGAAGAGGAATGCCACGAAAGGCAAAGGGACAAACCGGGCGACCTGAATCAGGGTGGTGTCTGGTAGATGTTTAACAGCCGGCCTCTCCGAGTCTCGGCAAAAGGACCGACTCTGTTGCTGGCTGGGTTTGCTCTGTGACCGGGGGTAATGCCAGGTGCCGATTGCCTTGGGCTATTTGAACAGCTCGCCGTGACTGCGGTGGACTTTTCCAGGTTGGTGGAGGCACTCAAGGCGGCACTGGGATCTGACTAATTAGGCAATGAGGGGAAGAGAGCAACTGAGGGTTCAGACTCATCCTCAACAATTCGGCCTTCTGATAAACTGAAATCTGTTTGGTAGTACTGTTTTAGAATTTTTTCCATTCATAGTTACTAGCCGGGATTGCTTTTTGATTTTTGTGTTTTGTTTGTGCTTTTGTCAAGTTTGGGGATCAGAAATTATAAAACAAATAAAAACTTGCTATTGTTTTCAGTGCTTTGTAATAGCTTAGGTTATATTGAAATGGCTCTTAGTTTTTAAAGGGAGACTGTAAAAACATTTTGGGACAGTTAGAGACATTTAAATATGAACTGGGCATTTGATGCTTTAATGAATTTGTGTGATAATGGTATTGTAAATATGCCAGACAATGCCTTTACTCTGAGGAGAAACATGAAATATTTAGGGGTGGTGGTGCTACCAGGAGACACCGGTGGGGCTCAGGGTTGCCTGTCGCTGTATCCAATTCAGCAGAGGCAGGGTTGAATCATACACAGCGTTTATTGAGAAGGCCAGCCAACCAAGAAGGCTGGGAGCATAAAAGCATCCAAAACCTGTTTTAGGAAGTGGCCTGAGGGAGCCTCCGGGTTATATGGGGCAAACTGGGGCTGGGAATGGAATGCAGTCCCGGAAGTCATTCTTTTGATCTTGGTGGCCTGGGGATGTCTCCATAAGGTGAGACCTTCACTTCTTTGATCTTGGTCGCCTAGCAATGTCCCAATTGTAAGGTGATAGCGTTCCCAGCTGCACCACCCCTTAATTGCTTCAGTCTGGGATCAAGGGGCGTGCAGGGTGCAAAGGCCTAGGAGAAAGAAGCCTAAGGAAAAAAAAAACTTAAACCCTTGCTTACATATGTATTCTACAATTTTATAAGTAATATAATTATATTTCAGAGTAATTCAGGTGCTCAATCGTTGGACATTATAAGTGCCCCTATCATTTCCCCCTCTGATTAGGTAAATTAGTTGATATCTATCAACCTTATACTAAACCACATCTTATTCTTAAATCTATCATACTGCTGTAGTGCTAGTATCTTTGCTTCTGCCATACGGCGATGACCTCTTCTAGGTCTTATGAATTGACATGCGCTAGAAAAGAGAGGCATACATTGTAGACAACAACACAAAATAAGACAAATGAATATGAACAGTAAAAAGACCAGGGATGCTTCCTTTATCCCAGTCCAACTGGGTAACCACGAGGTCAGGGCAGCAAACTCCTTAGTAAAGCAGCCTTCCCTCTGTGTGACATGGGAAAGACTAGCTTTGACTTTCTGTAACTTACGCTCTATGAGTTCAGAGTTATCAGTTAGACTGAAACAGCACATACCCTTAAAATCTTCACACCTCCAATTGTGTCTGAGTAATCAATGGCGGCTCGATTTTCTAGGATGGCTTCTTGTTTGCCCTAGTTCCTGACCCATAGCCGCTATAGCTTGGCAGGTAAAATTCAGAGCTTTTATCATTGCACAAGCCAAATTGGTTACTTTAGTGTCCAATAATTCTACCATTACTGGAGTGACAAATGGAGTTATAGAGGGAGATTCAGCCTGGCTAAACAGATGAACTTCACGTCGCAGTTCTCATCTAGTGTGAGCGCGCGGTGCACTCCCTGAGGATGAGGCTTCTGTGGCAACATTACAATATTAGAGTCAAGCGTCCACTGGTGCAAGGGCCTCCAGCACTATTCATAGGTACATAAGATATGCTGTCAAACCAGAGCAGGAACCTACCGGGGGAAGGAGAACATGCCCATTTCTATAAGATATAGAGGAATTTTCTTTTGAACAGTTCAATCGCTGCTGAGTTTTCAAAGACAGTTTCCTGGACATCCTATAAATTATACACACTCTCCTATGGAACCCCCCTGCTACTTTAATAGAAAACATAGTATGACCCCTTTCAACAGCAGGGCAATTGGTAGCATCTGGTTCCAATGCAGATGAGTCTCCTGGCACTGTTTTGGCTCTCAACCTTTCCTGAGGCCTAGGTGTTCTCTCTACTAAGAAAAGGTAAGGGAGTCCAAACCACATGACCAGTGATATGCTAGGACAGGCCATCCTGGTGGGGAGGTCCCATCCTACCCTATAATTGTTCCTTGCTAGGCACCTGGGGCTTTCCACCCGGATGACCTTCTGTACCTAGCCCCTTGTCCTTGCTCTGCTCATGTCTGTCTGACTGCCTANAGATGACCTGTACCTAGCCCCTTGTCCTTGCTCTGCTCATGTCTGTCTGACTGCCTACCACGTCCTCCTCAAGGATCTTGGCTCTGAAACATTTCAGAGAAGAGGGGCACAGAGTCTCTTCTTATAGCTACTTCCTGCTGATACAAGTAATAATTTTATACCCAAACAATGCAAAAGTCTCCAGATTTTTAAATGCCGCCACTTAGTTCAAATATCACAAATTGTGTGAGCCACACAAAATGTCCTATTCAGCCTTAAGCAGCCAGTTTGCAACCCCTATTGTTCATTTGTTCAGCAAATAAAGGATGACCACCACTACATGTCAGGCACTGATGTAAGCACTGGGAGACAGTGATAGATATGTCACACCCATAAATAGTAGTTTCATCTAAATTTCTTTACTTTGCCTCTTCACAAATTAGTTGAAAGGAATGTGAAACTTCTAAGAAAATACAATCATAAATGTTGCACTTTGAAAACAGTCTATTGAATTAATTTATGAGCTAATTTTAAAAATGTTTTCATTTCCTGCCCTTTTAGATGTAGTTCTATGAGTTTGAACACTTAATAGATTTGTGTAACCACCACCACAATCAGGGTACAGAACAGTTCGAGCCCTACAAATTCCCTTGTTCTGCTCCTTGACAATCAAACCCTCCCCTCCCCCCGGCAACCACTGATCAGTTCTGCCTCTATAATACAAATGTAATCATACAGTATGTATTTTGAGTGCTGCTTTCACATGACATTCTGCCTTTGAGATTCATCCACGTTGTTATATGTTACCAATAGCTACTCCTTTTTATTGCTAAGCATTATTACACTGGATGGATGTACGCATCTGTTTATCCATTAACCTACCGGAGGACATTTGGGTTGTTCGCAGCTTTGGGCGTTTATAAGGCTGCTATAAACATTCTTGTCCAGGCTTTTGTGCAAACGTAAGTTTTCATTTCTCTAGGGTAAATACCTACGAGTGAGATTCCTGGGTCATATGGTAAATGTATGTTTAACTTTATAAGGAACTGCCAAACTTGTCTAGAGTGCCTGTACCATTCTGCATGCCCATGAGCAATGTATTAATAATGTTCTGGTTGCTCCACATCCTAACACTTGGTATTGTCAGCTTTCATTTTCAATTTCAGCTACTCTAATTAGGTGTGTAGTGGTATTGTGGTTTTGACTTGTATTTCCCCAAAGCTAATAATGTTGAATATCTTTTTATGAATGTATATGTCATCTATATATGTATTCTGAAGTACTCTGCCCATTTAATTGGGCTGTTTTCTTATTGAGTTTTGAAAGTCTTCATATATCTTCAACACGAATCCTTTGTTGGGTAAGATTTGCAAGTAGCTTTTCCTTCCATTCTATTGACAGTCATTTGCAGAGCAAAATGTTTTGAGTCAAATTTATTTTTAAAGTTAAATGGATTGTACTTTTTATATGATATCTAAGAAATCTTGGTCTAACCCAAGGTCATGAAAATTTTCCAACTTTCATCTACTAGTTTAATAGGTTTAAATCTTACAGTGAGCTATATGACCCATTTCGAGTTAGTTTTTGAATGAGGTATGGGATCAGGCTGAGGTATGGGATCAGGCTGAGGTATGCTTCTTTGCATATGGACAGCCAATTCTTTCAACACCATGTTAAAATGATTATCCTTTCTCAATGGAATTGTCTTTGAAGCTTTGCCAAAAAACCACCATTATTTGTGTGGGTCTATTTCTGAACTATGTGTTTTGTGCATCAATATGAGTCTCCTTTTTGCCATCACGTGTCTTGATTACTGAAGCTTTATAGTAAGTAATAAAATTGGATAGTGTGTTAACTTTTCAAAATTGTTTTGGCTATTTGAGTTCCTTTGCCTGTCTATGTAAGTTTTAGAATCAGCTTGTCTATATTAACAAAATAATCTTGCTGGGATTTTGACTGGAATTAAATTAT